TTTTTTTTTTTTTTTTTTAAATCAGGGTTGCTTGCAGGAGCATGCGTGAAGGGTTATTTATAGTAGAGAAAAATGGCTCTACCTTCCCCAGAAATCATTGACTGCCCCAGAAACCTCCTGAGCCTCATGCTGGACGATTTTTTTTTTAAGCTATCTGAGTCAGCCATAAAGAGAACCTTCCATCTCCAGGGGGCACAGAGGAAAGGGAGCCTCCATGTGGTTCAAGTCCCAGGCCCCAGGGGTTGCAAGTGCTCGGGGTACATTAGGAGGACTAGTTTGCGTGAACTAACTTAGGTGGGGGTTTACTGGCTCTTTTTTCTCCTTTTACTTTCTTTCCATTCATTTCTTCTTTCTGTCTGGCTCAATCCAAAGGACACACTTGCGGCACACCTGGAGATGTGCTATGGTTACCTGGGGTTCAAGCCTGGAGTCCAAAGCAGAAAGGACCCAGTGTACTACAGGGAAGTGAAAGCCTGGCTTTCTCACTCATGGTCCTAGGAAGCCTGGGAATCCATGCTCCTCCTCTGCATGGGATCTTCCTTCCATACTGGCAAGGGCTTGACTAGGCGCCACAGCACAAGACAGGGGACTGAGGACTCAGAACTTGGTGGCCGGGCCAATGTGAGGGGCAGCATGGTAAGGTGCAGGAGACAGTGATTATGAGTAGGTTTTCCCTGAATCTTCTAAATTACCACGGGACGCTCCTGGCAGACTATCTCAGAAGCTTCCCATGGCTTTACTTTCACATACCTGGTCTGTGGGTGTGTAGTCAACCAGACTGACGCTGTCAATCCTTTCCAGGAAGCTGCAAGGAAAGCCAGGACAAGGTCAGACTAGCTCTCCAGTCCTTTATCCCAGGGCCTTGGCTGCGTTAATGGGGCATTTGCAAAGTGACAGTGAGGACAGGCCCAGGTGCCGCTGTGTGTCTGTCTCAAGGGGAGGCCAAGGCCTGCATTTGGTTTGACTTTGACATTCTGTTCTTTTGTCTCTGTTTTCCTTCCGCCCTCCCTCTTCTCCAGTCCTGGAAGGCTGGAAGAAGTGGCTGCTTGGAAACTGGGAGGGGGAATGAAGCCCCCACCCATGGCCAAGCTGGTAGGAAAAAGAATTGTAATACATGTTAAGACAAAATGTTAATATAAACCAGAAAGCAACAACTGTCCTAATAGGAACAAAAATATAATAGGTGCATGAAAGTCTGAGCATGTGAGAGTATGACTGTATGTTGTATTTATGTTTGCATGTTTGTGAGAATAAGAGTGTGTGAATGAGAAGATGTCCGTGTGAACAATGGTGTGAGGGTGTGGAAGGATAGTCGTGAGTGTGTGCAGGCAAGAGAGAGTAGGTGCAGATTTCATCGGCACAGGCCCAGCAGCAGCTCTCAGTGTAAGTCAGTTCAAGAACAGGACGACCAGACCTGTGCGGGGTGTGGCAGGTGAGTCAACATGGCGCCATCTTTTAAGTCTTTCCTGTTCCTAGGTAGCAGGTCACCTGCTCCTCCTGCTCTCAGAGGTAAGACCCTGTTTCAGACAGCACCCGTTGTCATGAGGCCTGGCTTTTCAGGTCCCAGGAGCACTTGTCACACATTGACATTATTTATTTCTTTTCTGTCAAGAAGTGTAGGACCCAGAGTGCAGGTCTTTGTCTCGGAGACTCTGGGGTCCCCAACACTCAGCGCAGTGCCCAGTCCTTAGGAAACATCCATGGAAGGAACACACACCCAACTCCTCCCTCAGCTGAGAGAGCCAGGTCCCTGACGGGGAAGGGCTGGAAGGAGCTAAAAATTAAATATGAGGCTGGTGGCTGGAGCCAGTTAGCTTAGGAAGCGACCAATTTAAAATTGGTGCACACAGGGTGGAGCAGGTGGGTGAATATACTTGGATGATAATGATTACAAGGAGCAAGAGTGAGATATGGTTGACAGAAAGTACATAGGAGGTTCTTGAGGGATGTAATTAAACACTGCCTTCCAGAGGAAGTGGTGGGAGGGAAGTGGTGGGAACCTTCCTGAAGCCTGTTCAGGCTGGGAGACTGAGGTGTCAACGAAGAGAGGCAAAGGGGCCTCGGTCCTCCCCCGCTCACTCTCCTCTCCAAGGTGCTTTCCAAAATCCTGTCCAGCTCTGACCCTTAGCCTCGATCCAAGCAACTTGCAGAAGTACTTCTTCCAGCTGGGGCTTGTACCTAACTGGACAGATGTCTTAGGAAGCTTTTCCAGAGTTGTGACATTCTCCTTAAGGGGGATGTTTCGTGTGAAGCAGAAAACACCGGGCCATCCAAGAATGTCCCCTACAAATGTCCCTTTGTAGTTCAGAAGGCCACACAGAGCTGTACAACCACAGAAAACTCCAACTGTAAAAAAAACCACTGTGTTAAGGAGGACCGAGTCTGGCGCTGTTTGTAATCTCAGTTGCTAGGGAGGCTGTGGCCGAGGCATTCCAAGATCAAGGCTTGCCTGAGCTACAAAGTGTGTTCAAGGCCAGCTTGGAAACTTAGTGAGATTCTGTCTCAAATTAAAAAGTGGGTAGTTAAGGGGGAGAGGAAAGACTGGGGATATAGCTCAGTGGTAAATGTTCGTGTAGTGTGTATGAGGCTCTGGGTTTAAACCCCAGCACATAAAACAAACAATGCCTCCCCATCCCACCAACTGGCTTTGCTATTTTTCAGTTTTTCCAGCGACAGCTTAAGTTGTGAATGGTGGCGGGAGGGTTTTACTACAGTAACTCAAAAGTTGGTGGCCATGAAGATGGTCAAGAAGTGGGGACAAGCTAGGACAAGGACAGTCGTGGAGAGGTTGTTGGGGATCTTTTGTAATGCCCACCTACCTGTCATCAATCCACATTTGAAATAATTTTTTTGTGGAAAAAAAAAGAGCAAGCTATAACTGTTGAGGGACGTAAGAAATACTCCTCTGAATCATGATACTTACCTCCAAGATAAAAGTACTGATGAATAAAAATATCCACATGGTAAAAATAGTACCAGGGCTTAGGCCTGTGCTCATTGTACCGACGTAAACAGTCTGCCTGTGGTCACCCGGGAACTCAGTACTGTCACCTACAAGTGATGCTATGAATCTGAGACATTCCCAGGAGCCTACTGTATGACCAGATTCTGTCTGGTTTGCTCCCTACTGGCCTCAGAATGTTATTGTAGAAAATGAACTTGGAGAAACTGGGCAGATAGTTTATTAGACCAGGAAGTGGAAGAAGGACAGAAAAGAAAGGAATAGGCCCATCACCAGTTTGCTTAATGTCCCCTGCTTTGTAGATTTTGCTGAGAGTTTTGAGGTATTTTTTGACAGCAAACACCCCCAGGAGGATGTTGTATGTATTGCAGAGAAATCCTTCACTAGTGATTACATATAGACTGGGTTAATAAGGTCACCAGACCAGACTAGTGTTCCCCCCGCCCCGTGCCCCCAATCAAAGGCAGTAGAAAGAACAGTTCTGGTTAGAATGTTCTCCAATTACACACATCTGGGGCCCTGCACTAAAATGAACTAATAGAGGAAAGTTGAGTTTGCACATCAGATTCCCCCCACCCGATTAATTCTAAAACCCAGCTTAGAAAAGATCCAGAGTAAGAATACCAAGGCTCCCAGGAATAGTCAAGAAGTTGCCAAGCTACCAAGATAAAAATTTAGGTTTGAGGCCAACTTTTGAAAAACAGCATGCTCTCTGAACCAAATCTACTTCTGAGTTCTCCTGTCCCCCCAGCCCCTCTGTGTAGTGCTGGGGATCTAGCCCAGGGTCTCCAGCATGCTAAATGTACACTCTATGCTGAGATCCATACTCACATGTAATGATACATCCTTTAAAATACATTCATCCAGTTTTCATGACTTAAAAATCAAAACTACATCAATTTTAAAAGTGAGGAAATAATTCATGGGCCTGTAGTGTTTGAAAATAATGTTTATGATTCATAAAAATGTACATTTATATAGTATGAAATGAACATATTTTAAGAAAGTTTAAGCATATATAGTATTGTTCAATCTCACAAAATATATTTTGATGGAAATATTTGCAGTACAAAAGGGTCTTCAATTTACCAAAGAGTCAATACTAAGCTATTTTTTCAAAGTTGTGTAATTAGTCAAGGTTTTCCAGTCTAAGCTTTTCCAGTCTAAAGGATGAAGGCACAGGTTTATTGACGCACGCCTGACTCAGCACAACTGTGTATACGAGAAAACATGTCTGGTAAAGGTCCTTTGAGAGGAAACTAGGCGGTTAAGGTGTCCCTTAGAGCACTTATCAAAAAAAAAAAGTGTAAGTATGTATACACACACACACACACACACACACACACACACACACACACACACAGCTTTAGTACTAATCTGTGCAGGCTTGTACTTGTTTTCATTAACATTCAGTCACATGGGAAATCACACTATAATGGATTTTTCAAAGAGTTCTGTAGAGGATCTATTTTTGTCTGAAATATTGGAATTCTTTTAATAGAAAAAAAAACCAGGAAAAGGGGAAATTAAATAAAACAAACTTTGTAAGCATTTAACTGAGGTTAAGTATGTGCCAAGCAAACACTTGTTCTGTGTTTGGAGGCCGGGAGAAAACGGGAGGTGCTTTGCTTTCCACCAGAGGAAAACAGGAAGGTGGATGGTGGTGGAGGCTTCTAGTCTCGATCTCTTTCCTTCTAATCCCAGCTCACTCCTGGGTCCTAGACTTGAAGCTGGCTAAATGTACATTTAAGCTTTGCAGATCTACAGCATTAACTTATGCTTTTTGAGATTTTAAAAGTTGCTGCTTTAAGACAAAATAATACATACAAATAACTAGAACTTAAAAAGGCTGTTCTATTTTATTTATATTTTTGGTTATTAAATAAAAACAAAACCTATAGTGACACAGTTCCAGGATTTACCTGGACCAGATCGGCAGTTCTTTGGCAATGTTAGGTGTGTAATAGGACTGCCATGGTGATGAACATTATTTTGATCAGAAGTCAATAAAGATTGCTTTTCATTAGCAAACAACTAGAAATTATAAATGTTAAGCCTTGAGAATTCTTGGTAAATTAGAATATAAATGAACAAATTTTAATTTTTCCTGGTAATAAACTATGTGGTATTTTTTCCCCAGTTATACACATACCATTATTATATGAACTAACAGGATTTAAAACGAGTATTTTCAAAAATCTTCTAAGGTAACTTTAGTATAAGTTATGAGAATAAATTAATAGTCAATTATAGTCTTTCTTTGATAGCAAAAAACAAAGAAAACCAAATGATATACAGAAAGAGTATTTCCCACCGAATAAGTTGAACAAAGTGTTTACAAATTTCTAAGTACCCATTCCTCCTCAATTTTTTGTACTACTTGTCAGTCTATGTATCATCAACCACACTAAAAATAAACTTCAATCTGATGATTCTAAGTGAAAACGGAATACATGAGGACTAGAGTTCTGCCGATTTTTCTAGATTCATATACAGCAAATTAACCGGTTTCGTTAAAAGGCAGCTATAAAAAAATACACATCATCATAAGCTATAAAGAACTTTAAAATCCAGTTAGAGGTGGAGGAAAACTGGAATTCCTTATCCTATCTGGAGAGGGTTGTAAACCCAAAGGTTTTTAGAAGGAAGAGTGTTCGGTATTCTGGCACAATTCTAGGGCACCCCTCTAAAACACAGGAGAGCGCGTCAAAAGTAAACCTCGGACAGCTTCTGCAGTCAGACTTGATCCCGAAGGCGGGCCAGTCTCTGGGACAGTTCATCCTGCTCAGCCGAAGCCACGCTCATTCCCACGGAACCGGTCTGGCCCTGCGGCAGCTCCATGT